GAGAATGCACGAACATCACAAAAAAAGACATCGCCAACACACGAAGATGAACATCACACAAAAATAAACATTCATAATTAACTCAGGTCATGTCGGGTTGGGCTGGACTAGGCCACTAGTGGGCTGGGCCAACTTTTGACCCAAATTAGGCTGATCTGATTCAGGTCGCGGATCGAACTAGCCCATGCCCAGCCTTATTGTAAGGATTATAATCCTTCTTCTTAATAAATAGTAAAATAAAGTCTGCTTCTAATAGGAAAAGAATTTCTTTAAAATAGAATTGTTCAAAACTACATATAAGGCTCTCTTTAATGGAATAAACAAATCAAGCTAAATTAAATCAAAATTGAATTTATTTCCTATCCCAAATAAACTTAAATTTTATTACTAAAAATAAACTAGAATCTAATTACTTTTAGATTTTTCCAAAATGAATACTACTAATGAAGTTTTGGAATCTGTTAATTTGGTTGACTTTGAATCATTGAGATAATCAATTTGTATGTAATATATCTGAATTCACCTTTCAAATTAGGATATATGGTTGTTTATTTGCAAATAAGTCTATAACATGCATCAATATCTTTGTTTGGCTCATGATGGTCCCACTTCTCCATGATTTTTTTTATTATGCAGCATACGTCAATCTCTCCTTATTAGAAGGAACTCGAACCTAAGCTTATTATAGGGGGTCAACACGTCCGCTCGTCACGGAAGCAAATCACCTCGAGAGAAAGACCTAGCTTTTGTTTTTAACAAAACTCAAGCCAACCTCGATGTTCTAATTTTGATATGAAATAAGAACAGAAGTGAATATCTCAGCGAGATGAGATATACAGACCGCCGATTCACAGATTCAGATTGTTCATGAAGAAAGCTCGATGTTCTTATTTTGTTTTGGAAAAAAGAACAGAAGTAGATATCTCAGCAAGGTGAGATAAATACTCTTTCCGATATCAAATCAAGGTTTGAATATCGAGGAAACCAACACAAGCAATAGCCAATACACAGAGAACAATAAAGAAGATATGAGATTTACGTGATTTGGAAAACTTGCCTACGTCCACTGGGAAGAGGGAGAAGAGAGATTCCACTATGATGGAGAACACCGACAACTTGCACAACCCACAAACTCGTCCCAAAAATAAAGATTTGATTTTACCTGAGAGAATATGACCTCTTTCTTGTATAATCTCTCCAAGCACTCTTTCTTTTCTCTCTTCAAGATCCCACCTTTTTCAGATCTGAAAAAACTCTCTCTTTTTCGTTGATGATAGCCCCTCTACAATACAAAAAACCATAGGAATGAAGTTCCTATTTATATCAAGGAAAGAGGGTCCAAAACAAAAACAATCCGCCCGCTTCGATTGCGCTCGAGGCACCCCGAGGTGTCTCGGGTGCCAAGACACTTCAAGGTGTCTCGGCGAGTGCCGAGACACCTCAGGGTGTCTCGCGCTCTGAGACATACTGAGGTGTCTCACGCTCACAATTCTCCACCCCATACATCATTTGATAAACCTTAAATTTTAGACAAATACCAGAAGAACACCTCGAACATCACATGAGAGATCTGAAACACCAAAGTAGGCTAAAAAATTAGCTGTTCCATTATACCATGGCTTCCTACGTACTCTCTGACCGGGATCAAGCTAATCATAGTTCTGCACATTGTTCTCCATATAGTCTCCACCTCCCCCATCACCGCCCCGAAGGGCTATGCCCTCTTGGGCAGATCAACACAGGCTGATATGAAACAAGTCCAAGCAATGCTAAAACTTTCTACATATCACCACCTTGGTCAACATATCTGTAAGATTCTCATTTGTGTGTAGCTTCATGAGAGAAATATCACCTTCATCTATGATATCCCAGATAAAATGATACCTGACGTTGAAATGCTTGGTACGAGCATGATGAACTTGATTCTTAGCCAAATGAATCGCATTCTGGCTAGCGCACCACAAGTTTACATACTTCTGCTCAATCCCCAAATTATCTAGAAGACCCCACAACCATAATGCTTTCTTCATCCCCTTTGTCATGGTCAGGTACTCTGCCTCTGTTGCAGAAAGTACCACTGTAGCCTGTAATATCGATTGCCAACTAACTAGAGCTTCATGTATTCTGAACACATAACCAGTAGCAGATCGTCGTCTGTCTAGATCATCCGCATAATCTGAGTCTATAAACTCATCAATCTGACATGTATCTCTACCAAAACATAATAGTGTAAGTGGTACCCTTCAAGTACCTCAGGACTCATTTTACTACTTCCCAATGTGACTTTTCCAGATTTGCTATGAACCTACTGACAACACTGACTGCCTGTGAAATATCTGAACGTGTACACATCATTACATATATCAAACTGCCAACTACGCTAGCATAAGGTACACGTTCCAGGTGTGCCTTCTCTTCTGCAATAGTAGGAGATTGTTTACCTGAGAGCCTAAAATGTGAAGCCAATGGAGTCACCACTGACTTAGCACTTTGTATCCCAAACCATGCGATAACCCGCTCAATGTAGCCCTTCTGACTCAAGAACAATCGCTGATTCGGCCGCTCTCTTCTAATCTCCATACCCAATATTTTCTTAGCAGCGTCCATGTCCTTCAACTCAAACTCTTTACCAAGTTAAGATTTTAACCTATTTATCTTCACCATACTTCTCAAAGCAATAAGCATGTCATTCACATACAAAAGAAGATAGATATAATCACCTCCACGAAGCTATGTAAACATAACAGTCATAATCACTTCTGGAAAACCCATGCTTTAGCATGAAGGAGTCAAATCACTTGTACCACTGTCGAGGAGATTGTTTCATTCCATAGAGTGATTTCCTCAAGCGACATACATGATGCTCCTTATCCTCAACCTTATAACCCTCAGGCTAATGCATATAGATTTTCTCCTCTAAATCTCTGTGCAAGAAGCTCGTTTTAACATCGAGTTGTTCCAGCTCAAGATCACCATCAGCAACAATACTCAATAGCACCTGAATAGAAGTGTGTTTCACCACCGGAGAAAAAAATCTTATTGTAATCCACACCTTCTCTTTGTGCAAACCCGTTAGCCACTAGTCTAGCCTTGTACCTCGTACCGCCGAGCTTGGAAGGATCCTCCTTTCTCTTGTACACTCACTTACAACCAATAGCTCTCCTCCCTATGAGCAATGGGACTACCTTTTATGTTTGGTTCTTCTGGAGAGATTCCATCTCTTTCTCCATCACAGCCAACCAACTCTCACTATCCCTATCCTGAATAGCTTCTTTGAAGATGACCGGCTCATCATCATCCACCAAGAGTGCGTACTCAACCAAATTTACTTGCCCATAGTACTTCAGAAGCTGATCAGACCCTAGCTTCTGAACTTATTTTTATGCTCGCCTTGGCCTAGTGGAAGCCAAATTATCTTCGAGCTGCAGTTATTGTAGTGCATGTACATTTTCATGTTGAACCTACTCCTATTCGATCTTATCATCACTCCTTTCCTGAGTGTCTCCATGATCCTTATCTTGAACATGACTAGAACATGGTTGGTCGTTAGTGTAGGCGTATAAAAATTCCTATAAGTTTCTACACACAGCTCGAGACGAAATGCAGACGATAAGCGTCATCATTCAAGTCAGGAAATGATTATCCAGCCCCGTGGAAGATAGTGAATATACAAAGTGAGTCATTAGAGTGTACAAGTCAATAAAATGACAAAATATGCAATACAAGTCCGGAGAAGTCAGAAAGTGTCAAACACCTCAAAGTGGCCCGCACAAAAGATTGACATTTTCAATACAAGTCCGGAGAAGTCAGAAAGTGTCAAACACCTCAAAGTGGCCCGCACAAAAGATTGACATTTTAGACCATGCTACAATTTGAATCTAAAGTGTCAAAC